AAAATGAGTATGTACGGGAGAGATCCGTGGGGTGGGCCTCTGGAGATTCACACGGCAGACTCCGCCACGGACATTGGATGAGACCCAGCAGAGCTGGCTGTTGGGACCGGGAAAGCAAAAGAAGAAGAGGTATGTGGATCTGGGTTGTATCATTGTTAGCCGCAAGATCTTTCTTTGGACGGTCGGGGTCATCCTCGCCGCCGGATTGTTAGTAAGGTTCATCACCCACTATCCTTAAAATGTATAAAGGCAGTTGCTCACCATCCCATTCTCTGCACCACGTACATTAAACCAAACTCACCATCCGCCCTACACTTACTCTGCAACTCTCTTTCTCTCTCTCCCTCTCCTCTCTGTCTATACATTATATATACATACCATTACATAATATATAGTAATATTACATATTTGTTTCTCTCTAAAGAAACAATAAACCAGCCCTGGACAGCTGAAACTCATACAAAATTTGAAACAATTCCAGAAATCTGCAATCCGGAATTTTGCTTTGTCTTTCAGGTTTGTATTCATCAACAATATCCTTCTCAAACAAGATTTAATTATATTGATTGTAATGGGCTTTCCAAACAGACCCTAAGTCGAGTTAGACTTGCCCCCAACAAGCATATGAACATGAGAATTGTTGCATTTCTGTATATACATTATATATACATACCATTACAAATATATATATATATATATATATATATAGTAATATTACATATTTGTTTCTCTCAAAAGAAACAATAAAGAAGAGCAAGAAAAAGAAGACAAGACACAACTCTGTCTTTCTGTCTCTGTACTTCCTCTGTTCGTTTTCTCTGTGTGCTGAGAAAAGTTCGAATAATTGACAAACAAAGACAAAAGAATACAATTTGAATTTGAAAAACATGTTGAAAATCAATATGTTACTTTTGATGCTCTTTTTTTTTCATGGGTTTGTTCTTCTGTCACATTGCGGTGGCAGTGGTGGAGGTGGGTTGTGGTGGTGGTGGGATGCAGGAGATTGAGAGGTTAGAGAGAGTAAGAAAAAAAAAAACTATTTAAGGGATATTTTCGTCTAAAATATAGCACCTTAAACAGATATCCGTTAAAATACTCCCCTCATAATAGTTGAGGGGGATTTTTTGCTAAAACATAAGGGGGGTTTTTTGCTAATGGGTGAAAGTCAAGAGGGGTATTTTGCAATTCGCCCTTAAATCAATGGAAACTTTCCTAAAACAAACACAAAACTATTTGGAAATTTAAAACAATGAAAACTTTCCTAAAACATACACTAAACTATTAGGAAATTAAAACAATGAGAACTTTCCTAAAACAAAAATTAGAAACTAGAAAATACTATTCAAGCCACTGTTCACATGTGCTACATCACTTTCACTCTCAGGGCCGCTTTGAGAGGAGTTTGAATGCCACATTCATTGCACTTATTCCGAAGGGGGGAGCGTCGGATCTTAGGGATTTTAGACCTATTAGTTTGTTAGGGTGCATTTACAGATTGATAGCTAAAGTTCTTGCTTTGAGATTGAGGGAGGTGTTGGATGGGGTTATATCGGATTCTCAAAAAGCTTTTGTGGGAGGTCACCAAATTCTTGATTGAGTTCTTATTGCTAGAAATGCGTGGATTCTAGGCTGTGTAGTGGGGTTTCGGGGTGCAATGCAAGCTTGACATTGAAAAGTCCTATGATCATGTTTCTTGGAGCTTTCTTCTTTATCTGTTGGAAAGGATGGGTTTTGGTGGGAGATGACAAAGTTGGATTATGTTTTGCATTTCAAGTGTTCGATTCTCGGTCCTTGTGAATGGAGCTCCGATGGGTTTCTTTTGCAGTTCAAGGGGTTTGAGGTAGGGAGATCTGCTCCTTTTCTGTTCCTCATTGTGATGGAGGCTCTTAGCAGAATGTTGAGAAGGGCGGTGCTTATGGGTTTCTTGAGGGGTTTTTAGGTGGGGAGAGTTGCTCTTAGTCAGTTGGAGATTTCACATTTGATGTTTGCTAATGACACTTTGGTTTTTTGTGATGCGGATGTTTCTCAAATAAGATATTTGAGATGCATTCTGATATGGTTTCAAGTTGTTTCTAAATTGAAGATTAACGTGGGAAAATTTGTTTTGGTTCCAGTTGGGGAGGTTCCTAATATTTCCGTTCTGGCTAATACCTTAGGTTGTTGCATTGGTTCTTTCCCTATCTCTTACTTAGGAGTTGGGGCTTCTTCTCGGGACACCATCGAGGAGAATGAGTTTTTGAAATCGCATGGTGGAGATGTTTGAGAGAAGGTTGGCAAGCTGGAACAAGTAGTATATGTCGAAAGGTGAAAGAGTGACTTTGATGAAAAGCACTTTGTCGAGCCTTCCTAATTATTTCCTCTCTCTTTCAGATTCCTTCTTTTGTTTCTGAGAGGATAGAGAGATTATAGCGGAACTTTCTTTGGGGGGGAGGGGATGGGGAGGAGTTCAAATTTCACTTGGTTAATTGGGAGCAAGTGTGTCGTCCAATTAGGAGTGGTGGGCTGGGTATCTGGTGCCTTTTAATAAGGCCCTTTTGGGGAAGTGGTTATGGAGGTTTGGTTTGGAGAAGCCCAGATTGTGGAAGAGGGTGATTGTGAGTAGATTCGGGAAGGACAGAGGTGATAAGTGTTAGTTAGAGGTGAAACGTCCCAATGGAGTTGGCGTGTGGAAATTCATCAGAAAGGGATGGGATGAATTTTCTAAGCATATCAGGTTCCAAATCAGAAATGGTAGCAGAATTCGTTTTTAGAAGGATGTTTGGTGTGAGGAACAGTCTCTTGCTCTCTCCTATCCCAGACTCTTAAGCATTGCCACGGACAAACACGCCTTGGTGAGTGACTGCTATAGTCTTGATAGTGGTAGATCATCCTGGGATGGGCGTTTTTTAAGGCATTTTCAAGATTGGGAGATTGAGGAAGTAGTTGGTTTTCTGTAGTTGTTGTATCATCAAGAGATTGTGAGTAGAGTCCCTGATTCTATGGTATAGGTCCCCTTTTCTAGGGGTCATTTTGAGGTCTCTTTCTTTAGATGTCTTAAAATCAGTGTAATTAAAGGCTCAATGCGCACTAAGGTGCTAGAGGTCCTTTGGAGCTAGGCACAAGGCAAGGCGCGCGCCTAAGTGAAGTGAGGCGCACAATTGAAATTTTAAACTACCATAAAAGCATTTGTATCTCATAAGTCATATCAAAATTTTAAAAATTTTTATCAAATATAAAAAAAGTAAATCCATCAACTGTATTTGCATTCAAGAACCATAAAACATAGCACAAATTTGTTTACTTGAAAGTTAAAACACAGAACAAAAAGAAATAAATCAATTAACAAAAAAAAGTGTTACAAGAAAAGAAGAAAATAGAAAAAAAGACGCAAAGACAAAAGAAGTAGATGAAGAGAGACAAGTAGATGAGAAGAGAGAGAAAGCGTTAAAGAAGAAAAGGGAGAAAAAAATAGAGCCCAAAAAAAAAAAGACAGAGAGAGGAGAACTAGATGAACTAGACAAAAAAAGAAAAGTAGACATAGATAAGAGAGGAGTAAAGGAGAAGAGAGGAGAGAGGAGAGAGAAGTAGAGGAGAAGAGAGAAGAATTCTTTTGAACAAAAGTTCCTTCTCTCATACGCTTAGGCTTTCTTATTTGGTTATTAAGTTGCCAAAAACGCCCTTTTGGCTTAAGAAATAGAATAATCATTTTAAAATAAAATAAAATACAGTGAGGCGCGCTTGACAAATAGGATGAGGCGCACACCTAGTAAACATCAGTGCGCCTGGGATGACAACAACAGCTAGACCTGTGCCTCGAGCCTAGGTGCACGCCTAGGCGCGCCTTTCATAACACTACTTTCGATTTCTCTAAGAGATGCACTCCCGTGGAAGACTATTTGGCATTCTAAGGCCCTCTTGAGGTGGCTTTCTTTGTTTGGACATCTGTGTTGGGAAAGATATTGACCCAGGATAAACTAAAGAGGCGGAGACAAGTTGCGGTCAACTGTTGTTGTATGTGCAAGAGAGATGAGGAAACGGTAAATCGTCTTCTTTTACATTGCCCAGTGGCTCGGGCTTTGATGTTTGGTTTGTTTGGAGTTCAATGGGTTATGCCCAAATCTGCTTAGAGGCTTGATTGAAGCCTAGAGAGGCTGTTTAGCAGGGGCTCATGTATGTTCGTGATTTATGGAGGATCGCACCTTTGTGCGTCTGGTGGTGTTTATGGCTTGAACGAAATAGGAGATCCTTTGAAGATAAGGAGACTTCTATTGGTGTGTTGAAATTCTCCATTATTAGCTCTATTTATTGTGAGAAATTGTAAATCCTCTAATGAGATAGTGGACTTTATTGACTCTTCGAGAGATTAGAGGTCCTATTTGGTCTTGTGTATCTTTTGAGGGATGCATTCCCCTTTTAAAGGCTTCTTTATATACAATCTTCCTTATCAAAAAAAAATGATAGCATGTGAATTGACGTAAGATTCATGTAGCAGACCACAAGTTATTAGGAACAGGCTTTGTTGTTGTTGTTGGCGGCGATGGTGGTGGCGCTCTGTGTGTGTGTGTGTGTTAATTTGTAATATCTTTTTGTTTATCTGTTGACACAATACATTAACAATGTGGCCTCATTTGTATATTTATCAAAGTTCAGGGGGCTTCTCTGTAGTTAAAGGGGGTTATTTGCAAATAAGTGATAGTTCGGGGGGGTTTATACTTTACTCTAAAATTAATGGTGGATACTATACACAACTACCGGTTGTGGAATATTCTACCATAGGTTGAAATAACCTAAAAATTTCCAATCGGGTTAAACTCTGATAAGTTAATAACATTGACATGTATGTGTGCCAGACATGAATTAGGCGACCACCACTTGCCACAGTCACAACGATAATAGACCGCGCCAATCTCCTGGTCAAATAGAAAATGAATTTGTTTGACCTCCTATACTAGGGAAATCATTTTGTAAGTCATTTTGCAGCTCTTTTACTGAGGTGCTGCAAAGTGATGTTTCATACTTACTTCAAGCCAGTCAGCAACTGCAGCCACATTTGGCAAGGTTGCACTCATCCCAACGATTTGGAGACCATGGGCAAGGTCAGCCTTACCACTGCTCATACCTGAGCTTTCTCCACTGGATGATTCCACATTGCCTTCACCAGCTGCATAACGAAGCTTTGTCAACAAAAGTTCCAAAAGATAACCCCTACTCTGATCACCAACCTGCAACAAACCCAAGGATGAAAACCATGTCTAAGAATCCATTCCAAGAACGAAAAAAAAAAATGAAAAACATTTTGAAAAGGAAACAGAAAAAAAAAAATATATATATATATATATAGTTGAAAAGATGATATAAGACCATATCCAAGGATCATTACCATATGCAGTTCATCTATCACAATTATTCCAACTTCTGAAAGGCGACCCTCTTCTAGCAACCTGTTAATTAAAGAGTTTGCCTTCTCAATCGTACAGACTGCTACCGAGGTATCTTTAGGAAGTGTTCCACCACCTTGGTTTCCATAGTAACTACGCACATGCTTATTGAGTGGTTCCAAGAGGACCTCCAGATGTTCAGCCTACACCAATTTGCACAGATCCTTGTGTAATAGATATATGTACAAAATTCAAGGATTACTCCTCAGAAGCAAAATCAACAACATGAAACAAAAACAACAATGCACCTTCTCTGCACAAATTGATACATATGGCAGTACAAGAAGTGCCATCTTTCCAATTGATAAGACTCGCCGCAACATCAAAATTTCAGCAACAAAACTTTTACCAGCACTATGAGAAAGGAAGAATCGTTAAGTGAAGTATAGATGCCACAAACTCAAAAAATTAAAGATTTTATATTGCTCATTGGACCAAAAAAATCCTTGTTTCATGGCAGGCCAAGAATTCATCATTTTTTGTATTTGCGCAATTAACCAATGTCCAACAAAAATTTAAGAAGAAAAGCAGCAACAACAACAACTACTTCGTCATGCAATACCATGTTGAGGACTAATATGTGGAGCGGGTTGGTTTGTCTTGAATCTTTAACAAAAGGTTGAAATACAATGGAAGAAGGGAGAAAGGTAAAAGAAAAAAATATAAGAGGGAACTACAAGAAAAATTACAAGAGATTAAGTGTAATGCCCATTAGTTAGTTATATGCAATCCTGAATCCACCAAACTATCTCAGCAGTACCCCTAAGATGGCACATGCATATCATACATGTTTGACTTCATTTGACAATGATTTGGAGATGCCGATACAACTTTCTTTCCTATCAGGCTTCATATCTACTACTTACATGTATAACTTTTGTAGCAACCAACTCAAAAATAAAGTTCTGAAATAGATATTCAAAATTTTCAGACGTATAAAAGAGTGATAATGTAGAGTAGACCAATCTAACAGCAACCTTGATATTAACTTCAATTACATCTATAAGAATACCTCGTAGATGCACAATATACAAGATTCCTTTTCTCTAAGACACCATCCACCTGAAGGCAGTCAACCTAGAGAACGAAAATGAAAATTAAATTTACATTGAGCTCTCAACAAAAAGGATACCAAATTAAATTACAATAACACCATTTTCAAAAATAAGTTTAACACAAACAAATGCAAGAAGTAGCATATCATTTTTCCAAGGCAACTTGATACTGTCACTTCAAATTCAGATACCAGTCAACCAGGATTTTTTTTTTTTTTTGAAAGTACCAGTCAACCAGGATATATATGATTGAATTCAAGATATGTTGTCCTAAAGAGAATACACAGTGGAAATACCATGCATGCACTATGCAAGAATGAAATAAGTTAATGACGGAAATGAACAATACAAGAAAGGACAGATAAGGACATGAGGCGAAAAGTTTACAAGAACAAAAAGTTATTCAGAGTTGGGATTCAAAGAAACATGTCAATTTTAGTTCTCATCAGCAGGTAGCATGTGCAAATGCATGAGTAATGTGTAAATGGTACTTATCTATGCACAATCTCTAAAGGAAGAGGAGTGAAAAATCATGGGTTCATAAATTCAGAGAGACAATTATGTGTTACAGTGTTGGGATAAAAAGTGAAACGAAATTCTCCCCCCTCCACCCCCAAAAAAAAATAAAATCAAAAGAAGAAGAAGAAGAAGTGAAATGAAATGAGAAGAGGCTAACTGACCATCTTCATCCATCTTAATTTTTTAATTATTATTTAACCGTTGGCTATTGTTCACATCTCTTAACTGTAATGAATAGTCTCAATGATAATTTTCTAGGATGGAGGGGCAATCTATTGATTGAAAAGTTCCTCAGAGTTCTCACATGATGTGTGTTAGCATATATGATATCCAAGTGCAACAATGATGATAATTTACAGTAGTAATAATATTATATAACAAACAAGAACAAGTATGTATAAGCACATTTATTTGTTAAATTGTATCATGGTCAAAGAACTATTAAAAACAATCTAAAAGACAGCCTACAATTTACAGTAAAAAACTGTCTTCCATTTTAGATGAGGCAGTAGGACGAGTTCAGGACAGGACATATTCCAGACATCATATCCTCAACAAACACCAACCCACTCCAAACCCATACATTCTTCAAGGTTCGAATAAATCGGACTTCCTCGCTGACCCAATTAAAAGAGCAATATAAATTTATGTTGGCACATAAACTTGTCTTATTAAAAAAACACTAGAATATATCTTTTAGTGCTTGTCTTGAACAGTTGAACCCAAACTAGGTATGAAATCTCAGCCCATACCAAATTGTGTAAATCAATAACCTGACCAAAGATAATAGAAAAGGGGGAACACCCAACTACTCTGCCCTTGTTTTCATCCACATCCCTTTATCTGAGCAGGACTAGCTTGATTAAAAAGTTAATGAAGATACCTGCCATGGATATAATTTTGATATTCCTCTCTTCTCATATATGCTGCATATTTCAGAAGGGAGCCAGTTGCTAAGATCTAAACGATCTTCTACCAGAGCAAAATTTGACGGAGTACTATCTTTGTTGCATCCTCTGATTTTCATATCTGGCGTATTAGATGTGATGCTATCATTATCTTGACTCAAATAATGTGCTTTCCTTTTTGCGACAGCACAATTGATCGGCATCCCTTGCACTTCATGCATTTCAGAATTGAAACAAGCTTCGCCACCATGGGTTGTAATATTAGTGGTTTGAAGACTTTTATTACTTACAGAAACACATCCAGTCTGTTCACCATCTATAGGCATAAGATCTTTCATGTTATCTACTAAACAATGAGTTGGGGTGTCCGCATCCAAATTTTTTTCAACAAATGAGAAGTCAAAATGCTTAACAGGCAATGGGGACGCTTCTTTATCCAAATTTTTTCCATGCTTTCCCAGTGACCCAAAAGAAGCATTCACTTCTGAATTACAGATTTTGCTTGCACCTTCATCCAATAATCCGTTTGATTTATTGACACACCCTCCATTCCGCATATTGTTTGAATTTTTTATCTCACATTGGCTCTTTAATAAATTAATTTCTTCAGCAACCCCAAAAGACAGGTTATCATTTGTAGCAAACAAACCATCAGCAACGTGAATTGCCTCATTCCAAAACGCTTCTCCAGGCGAAAATATGGAGCTTCCACGTGATGACCTGGGAGTTTCACGAGCTCCAGCCTTGATCGTCAACGGACCAGGTGTATCACATCCGGAGCCTGCGGATGCTTTATTGCATTTTCTCAAGCTCGCTTGATGTTCAATGGTACCATTACCCACAATCACCTGCCAAGCACATGTATCAGCATTAATCAGTAACATAGTATTCTAAGATCGGTCCCATGATTGCTTCAACTTTCAATTGAAATTTACCTCTCTGGAATAGTTGAAAACTGCTTCTCCAGATTTCGCAATGATATCAGTCGGTGCACTACAACAAGGGGTTTCACCCTTGGTCTGAGACTGGTCCCCATCAATGATGCAATGCCTTCTCTTGATTGATCTATCCTCCACAACTAGCACTGACGGACTACCATGTCTTTTGTGTGCATTTGTTTCCGGCTCAGACGGTGAACTTACACTTGATGGAAGCTCACTGCATGTAGTAGAAAACAAAAATGTTATTGTAGCAAAATCATTAAACAAACCACACAGGTACATCCCTCAGTAATCAGTGAAATTTGTATATAAAGTTATAAACTTAAAAGACTTCCATGTAAATGAAATAACAACTAAGTAACTACAACTGTCTAGCCTAATCTTGTTAAATAATACGGTGCTAGTTAAAAGGAAAAAAAAGATGCAATGCCTGCAATAGAAGGACAAAAAGTCAGCTGCAAACTGTTTAAGTTCAGAGTTCCCTGCACTGTGCACAGGATCTGAGCATCCCTTCGCAAGACCTCTGACTGCAAGGTCACCCACTTCAGATGGAACCCGAAATTGTTCCCTCTTGGCCTCTCCGGCAGCTTCAGAAGTTTGAGGGCACCCTTGGATCGATGAAAAGGCCTCTTTCTTTTCATCTTTGGAAGACAAATCAATTTCCAATGTGAGGTTTCTCTTGACCGGATCTTGCCTGGCAAATGGACCAGGAGCTTTGAGCAAAATGTTAGTAGTACGATTATCATCTTGTGAGGTAACCAAATAGCTGTCCAAAGAACCTTTGGCACCAGGAGACCCTTCAAGTGTTGGTTTTGCATCTTTCTCGATCCTCCGAGGCTTCAAACCTGGTGATAAGGATTTCTTCTTCTTTGAAGTAAAAAACTGTGCAGAGGAACACACAATAAAATAATTATATAATGAATAACACAAAATTAAATATTGTTCTGTGATTCCAATTTATCAAACCGAAAAACTACATATGGTAAACAAACAAGATATGTTAGCTATAGATAGCATGCCATATGAAATCAAACAAACTCATTATTTTGAGGATTACCCAGAATCAAAAATAAGAATATTATTAAAAAAAAAAAAAAAAAAAAAGAATGAAAGAAATGAAAATCTAACTATATCTAACAAAAATTAGTTTTACATGTAAGTAATTATTGGTTTTATCTGCAACTTTAAAATCAGAAACGAACTATTAATGTCATTCTTATTACCGTCAACAATCAACAAGCAACGGACTTCAATTAATAAATAAAGGAAAAAAATATATGAACTCATGAAATTAATCAAAAAAATAATAATAGAGATAGCATTCAAATTTGAAAAAGACACGCTACTAAAAGAATAAGATTCATCGCCACGTGGAACAAATTTAAGTAACATACTTCAATGAACTTATTAATACACACATATATATTGCATATACACAAAGTTACGTTTTTTAATGGGATGCGAATCTTGAAGAAGGATCTAGGATTTCTGAAAGACAAGAAAAAAGAGTTTGAAGAAGACCTGATCGATGCGCGTACGAGACGAACCAGACTCCATGATCGAACACGAGTTTCAGGCGATTCGCAAGCCCTAGTTTTCTCTTACGCTCGCAGTATTTTGCATTTGAATGATTTTAAAAGACCGCCAAGTAGTACTGATACAGAAGGTATAGAATGGTGAACCCCAGAACATTGTAAAGAATTCTTTAGTTTTTTTGCAATGGTGACCATAATCTTTTGCATATTTCGACTTATTACCCATTTTCTCTTGAAACCCATCCGGTTTGGAAACCCTACCCACAAAACTCAATAAAACTATCTTTTATTTAGGGATGTGCATGGTTCGTTCGGATTGGATCGATTTCAAAAAAATTTGGAACCAAACCGTTCTTAACGGTTTCATAAAAATTGAAACTGAACAGAACCACGAAACCAATTAAACCAAACCATGAGAAAACGGCTTGTTTCGGTTTGGTTTCACGGTTCTAAACTTTTTTATAATTCAACATACTATATATATAATTAAAAATATATATCATATATAATTTAAGTTTCTATTATAATATAAGTTTCTATTATATATTATATAGTTGAGTGGTTAAAAGGCTAATCCTATTTTTTATTATATAATACAATACAATATATGTATATATATAAAATTCAAAAAACGGTTTGGTTCGGTTTAGTTTGGTCTTGTAGAATTTTAAATCGTTACCAAACTGTTTATAAATAGTTCCATATTTTTTAAATCTTAACTAAACCAAACCATGAAAGAACTTAACCAAACCATGAAAGAACTTAACCAAACCAACCAATTCGGTTTTTTTTTTGTGCACCCCTACTTTTATTGCCTTGTTTCTAATCCAAGTAAAAAAGTGGTGGGTAGGGTATGTTTAGTTCTAAAAATAATTTTTTATTTATTGATAATTAAAAATTAGTAAAAAAGTGGTGTGCATGAGCATGTTTTGCTCACTTTTTAAAAAACAACTTTTTATTTAGTGATAACTAAAAATTAGTAAAAAAATTTGTTTTGTTGACAATCTCTCTAGATCAGTAAAAAAATAAAATAAAAATAAATTTGTTTTTAGAATTTGATCATTTGTTTAAAACAAATTTATATTTTCTTAGTTCTTCAATAACTGGTTTTAAAAAAGAATAATGATGCCACGAGGTCTATCTCATTACACTTGTCATGAGCTATCTGCCTTTATATTTGAGGTGTTGTGAATTGCATAGTTAAAATTTCATACTAAAATTCATTTATAAGAAATCACACGAATTAATCAAAGTTTTTTTTTTCCTAGTTAATCAATTAAAGTTTTACATACTCTTTCTTTTACCAAATTACACTATTAACTTTGACCGTCTTGTATTTTGATTTTTTAGTTAAATTACTTTAATATTGACAATGTGATAATATAATACATGCATTATTTTTATTGTCCAAAGTACGTTAATTTAAAAGAGAGCATCGGTATAATCTTTTTTTCTGCAACTAAGGTGGCTCAATTATATTTTGACATATATCTAAAAAATAAAAAGTATATAAATATGGGGCAAAAGTGCAAAAAAAAACTCTTGAGATTTCACCAAATGTGCACAATACTGTGGTGTAAAAGTAAGCAAGTCAGTTCTTGTAGTTTCAAAAGTAAGCAACTTGTCCCATTACATTTCACCTCCGACCACTTTCTGTCAGTATTGCTATGCACAATATTGATATTTTTTAATTAATTCCGAAAATACCCTCCAATATAAGTGTTATACCCCATTTTCCTATAAAAAGGCTTTTGCATTTCTTTAAAAAAATTATTTTTCCCTTTCATTATTTTTTTCTTTTCTTAACTAAATCCGCTAACCAAGCATAATTCATTCAGTTATACATATTCCAATATTCCATTGCTAGTTGCATTTTCTTTACTTTGCGTCAAGCATAATATTTATTATTATAGACCAAACTCAATATTATATTTATAGAAAAAGAGAGTTGGTGAAGATGTAATACGTAATGTCATGGATTTTTTCCTCAATTTTTTGGCAATTTTATTCTTTATGGTATTTATTATTTTTGTACATGGGATTGCGTGCCACGTGAGTTTCGGGGGTCATTTCGGGCATTTCTAAGAGTTTCTTCGAGTTTAGAACTGTTAGATATGCATTACGAGTTATTTCATTAATTTTAGATTTTCGAGCTCGGGAGGTCCCGTGTGTGTGTGTGTGTGTTTCATTTATATCATTTGATTTTATTATTATTGTGTGTGTGTGTTTCATTTATGTGTGTGTGCGCGCGCGCGCGTATTTTGTAACTTTTGTGTGCATGTGGGACCACCATTTGACCATGTGATATATAAAAATGGCTAGAATATTAAAATTGGCCACAAATTCATTCTCTCTCTCCCCCCTCTTTTTTTTTCTTCTTTTCCATTCAGTACACCAAACCCACATCATAAATCTCTAGATTTGATATATTTCTAGTAAGAATTGAGTTTTGAGTTAGAGAAATTGATCTACTCACCAAGAGCTTTAATTTGATTTTAAAATTGAAGCCATTAGAGCAAGTTTGTTTTGGAGGAAGCTTGGATTTGACCTTGATTTTGAGGTATGGATTGTCTAACTAATGATTTCTTAGGCCTTTAATTTGCAAGTATTTTATTGTTTTTACTTGTCTAAACATAATTAGGAAGGTATTTGTTGTACAACATGAATTAGTTAATTCTTATGTGGTTAATTCTTACTCCAATATTGATTAAAATTAAATTTCATACTAATTTTATGGTCAAGGTATGATGGTTACATTCTCTTTTATGTTACTTGGAATATTCAATGCTTTATGTAGTCAATTGTTGTCATATTTGTTGTACAACATGAATTAGTTAATTCTTATGTGGTTAATTCTTACTCCAATATTGGTTAAAATTAAATTTCATACTAATTTTATGGTCAAGATATGATGGTTACATTCTCTTTTATGTTACTTGGAATATTCAATGCTTTATGTAGTCTATTGTTGTCATTTTCCCTAAATTTGGAACTATAACATGTCTAGCATGCCACTTGTTTTATTTTATGCTTACATGGGACTCCTTTGATTGATTGTGTTCAATTATGCGACTATGAGTATGTGGACTTAATGAAATGAAGTTAAATGTCACACTGAAGCACCATTTCATCCATATTTTTTTCATTCTTCATTTTATTATGTGATTATGTGGTGATGTGTGAGGGAACGTTGAATTGAATATTAAAGTTTAAAGAAAGGATTTTCAAAACCCGGTATTGAGGAACGCGTATCATATTCAAAGATGCAAGCTAGTTAATACAGGCATGGGGAGGTACCCCGTGTAATTTAGCGACTCATGCCTCAAACGGTAGTGGGTGATGTGTGTCAATAATAAAATGACTATCGCAATAAAACAAATCCTTGTAGAATAGGGCTATATTGAGGGCCTCAAACCTCAAGGATTGTGGTAGACTATGAAGTATAAAATTAATCATAATTTAATTCAGGAAGAAAGATGATTTTATGTTTAGCTATGTCTAAATTGTAATAAAACTAAAATTAAACTAATTTAGCAAAGAATGAGATCAAAGTGAGAATAACTTATGGATCGATTTCACTGTTAGTCTCATAATATGGTCAATTGCTTCAAATATCGGGAAATTCAAACTTATGTATATTCGGGAATCAAGTGGCTACAAGCATACTTTAATTCAATTAAGAAGGCATATATGAATAAATACTAAGCCACAACTCATCTTCGGTTAGCACAAATTGTCTGCATAAGTACTATAATCTACCATGCAATTCAACTCATCTTCTTTAGGCATAAATTATCAAAACATTCATTCACATGTTCAGTTATGCACCATTGCATAATAACTACTTCTACCGTTAAGAGAAGCCCTTAGCCGCCAATTTCTAACAATAAAATGGTTAAATTCAATTAAAATAAGATTAATTCTAAGATAATAGATTAATTTCATTAAAACTAAGTATAATCATTAAAACCCAATTACTTAGTAAAACCAAGTCAATTGCTCATAATCATGCAATCGATATACATAGAAAAATCCCCAAAGTTAATAAAAATTAAACCATACTACTCGGACTAGGGTTACATCAATTCCCTAAATAATGTTTTAGCTACTCATAGAGATGAAGAATGTCATCGTTATTGATGTAGAAGCCATCTTCATGGACCGCTAATTAGAATCTTCAATCTTCAAAACCCTAAAAGCCGCCACAAGGTAAGATAACAAACAGAGAGATCTTTAATGTGTCTTTTTATCTTATTTTATAGTGGAGAACAAGTCTTAATACCCTTTTGATAGACTTTACAGCTTTTGGGGACAACTGGGCCTATAAGGAAACAAATGAGAGTGATTTTACAACTTTTCAGCATGTTTTTATAACTTTTAGGGTGTTAATGCTCGAGCCCTATTTTTACACTTAGCCAAATTTTGACCCAAAAAATTCCGAAGCGTCTTTTTCTCCATACTTAACCATTTTTCCAACTTTTTCCTTCATGGTGCTCGAGGGTGCACGAGCCCTATCTCATGGTGTTCGAGACCTATATGCTGAATTTCATTAAATCTTCCCCGTTTAAGTCCCGAATTGATCTAGAAGTCCCCGAACATATCTCTATGCATCGGGAACATCGAAATAAGCTCTAAATACATGGAATTGACCGTATCTTTCAGTAAAAACCTACAAATAGTAAATGAATGAAAATAAACATAAGAACTAAGATAAAAGTATCATTAAGGCCTTATCATACACACGTTTAAGGGTTTGAATATACAATATTCATCGCTTATCAGTGGAGGGTACCCCGTGCCAAGGACAATAGCAAATTCCCCTAAGGGATGGAGAAAGGTACCCAAAGTTCGGCTAGTTAGCATGGTTTCAGTGTGTGTGTGAGGTTAGAGGTGTGTGCGTGGTATGAAAAATTCTCGATGCATGCATTTATCACTTTGAGAACTATGGTATCTTGTGAAAGAATTAAAATGTCCCCGTGTATGACCCATTTCCTTGCTTCACTTTTTTTGGATTGTTATATGTTTTTACTTACTCAACTTGAGAAGATGTTATTTAGGCATTCTCTACTAAGCGAGTGTCGCTCACCCCTATGTAAACATTTTCAGGGCA